GAGGCCCAGATAGGAGGACTGCTTGAGCCCAGGAGTTCAAGAGCAGCCTGGGCAAGATGGTGCTACCTCATCTCTACAAAAAATTAAAAAATTAGCCAGATGTGGTGGCACAATGAACTAAGTTTAACCTTAATCTATGAAAAACACAATTAAGAATAAAATCTTAAAGTACTCCCAGAAAATAACAAATAACATTGAATTATCCCTCTGTAAGCATGAAATGCACACATACAAACAAAACTATACACATTAGTAAAGAAAAACAAAAGCCTAGTATATATCCAGAGAATGACTAGAAAATCATTACAGCAATATCAAACTTACCCAATAGCTGCTGCTGCTTCTTTTTTAACTGAGTCTCGCTCTGTCACTCAGGCTGGAGTGCAGTGGTGCTATCTTGGTTCACTGCAACCTCCGCCTCCCCCCAGGTTCAACCAGTTCTCTGCCTCAGCCTCCCCAGTAGCTGAGATTACAGGCACCCGCCACCATGCCCAGCTAATTTTTTTGTATTTTTAGTAGAGACGGGGTTAAACCATCTTGGCCAGGCTGGTCTTGAACTCCTGATCTCATCATCCACCCGCCTCAGCCTCCCAAAGTGCAAGAATTACAGGCATGTGCCATTGTGCCCGGCCCCAAAGAGCTTCTTAGTTTCATCAGTATCACTGCATTAATATATTCTTGCAATGAAGTGCTGCTAATTAAAAATCGATTCTACTCTGTTGGCATGTGCAAATAATGAAAACCATAGAATAATGTCTGTGTTATAACCTGAAAGGGGCCAACTATTATGAAGTAAAACAGAGGGAATACTTTAAACATGCAGCACCAATTGAGCTGGGGTTATAATTTCATTCTTTGTAGGCTATTGGCAGCATGAGACTTCTTGGCAGAATTTCTCACTTCCAATATAGAGTATTATTATTATCATCAGTATTTGTTATGCAGGAAGGAGCTCTGATGGAAAATCTTAGTATCACGAAATTTCCTCAAAATTCTCCATTTACTCTCTGCTTCCCCAGTTCAGTTTCTTGTTACTAGTTACGCAGTTGCTTTGGAAACAGGATATGGGCTCAGCTCACTTAAGCAATGATGAGCTTTACGATTAAAGCTCGCAGAAATGGTGCCAAGTAAAATTCTGCACCACAGATAAAACAGCCAACATTTAGCTGGATTAGAAACAGAATGTCCTGCTGTGAAGAGTCGGATTGGCCCTTAGAATGCTGTGTAGCTTGGCACCCAGAATGATTCCCAGGACAAAAGGAAAATCTATAGGTAGATATATACAGATATTATCTCAAACACCAAAAATAACATTTGTGAATAAATATAATAGAAAAACTCTTTCACATGTCGAGCCTTAAAATCTGTCAAACTAATCAATACAATAAAAGAATGTGGAATTATATTATTTCATAAAAATCATACCTTTAAGTAAACTTTATTCCTTATTTTGAAAATCTTTTAGGGCATAAATGTAACTATATTTAAAAATTTCTATGGAAACAACCAAGTACATTTTGCATTCAACTTAATTAATATACGCAAAGGAATATAAATCATTCTATTACAAAGACACATGTGTTCACTGTAGCACTACTGACAATAGCAAAGACATGGAATTAACCCAAATGCCCATCAGTGACAGACTGGATAAAGAAAATGTGGTACATATACACCATGGAATACCACACAGCCATAAAAAGGAACGAGATCAGGTCCTTTGCAGGGACATGGATGGAGCTAGAGGCCATTATTCTCAGCAACAGGAACAGAAAACCGAACACCACATATTCTCACTTATAAGTGGTTGCTGAACAACGAGAATACATGGACACAGTGAGGGGAACAACATACACTGGGGCCTGTCGGGGGATGGGGTGGGGAGATCATTAGGAAAAATAGCTAATGCATGCTGGGCTTAATACCTAGGTGATGGGTTGATAGGTGCAAAAACCACCATGGCATACATTTACCTACGTAACAAACCTGTACATCCCACACATGTACCCCAGAACTTAAAAATAAAAATTAATTTAAAAAATCATCTTACCTGTGTAAAAAGAATAAACTGAGCAAATTGCCAAGGAAGCATAAAAGCCACATTGGAAAGACAGAGTGCAATGAAGGGCCTTCTATCATTGCTCGAGGTCCTTAATAGAGAGAATTGATACCAATAAGTTTCACCCTAAAAACAGGCTGTCATTAAAAAGAAAGACTAATTGCAAAATGATAAAATCTAAATTATTCTATTACCTTTACTATAATACAACAAACCCTATAGTTAACTTTTTAAAGCATACTAAAAAGAAATTGAAATACTTCATGCCTTGCATGAAGCAATCAAAATTAGAGTTATAAAAATAACGTTGTAATTTACCATTAAATATTTTAAATACAAAAGCTCATTTTCCTCTACATCTGCATGACATTAGAAATTTAATACTCCAGCAAGGAGGTCAGAAAATAGGACACGGTGCTGCCCCTGCACACCTCAACATGCTTCTCCTGTATGTGCAGCAACAACTTTTACATACCACCACTTTTATGTTTCAAAAAACATTGAAGAGAAATGTAAGTGCTGACAAAGTAATAAGTTAACAACTATGGAAAAATTTAAGGAAAAAGAATCTTAAAAAATTAAAAAATGATTCTAGAATTCAGCTGAAGCATGTGGAAGTTTAAATTGTCCATTCCAATTACTGAGATGTACTGGGAACCAATATCTTTTACCACAGAGAATTACAGTAACTTTTGGATATGAAAAAAGAAATGCAAACATTTTACCTAAATAATAAAACTGTAACTGTTCCTTTTATAAATGTTGTATTGGATTTTGATGAATCTTTGTACAATCATATATAAATTTTCAAAAACAAAATTCTAAATGTTCATATTGTTTACTGTTATCATAAAATACTCATTATGTACTTTGTAATCTTATATTTTTCAAACAAAAATTACTTTTGTCTAAGATACAGAGTATAGCACATGCCCTCAATGATACAACCCCAAATGTTCTAATTAAAGTATTTTATTCCATGAAACCCCTGACTGACCAGACTGATATCACTTCAAAAAAATATAACCCACCTTCCTAGGAATTAAACTGGGAATGAATAGCAAGGGGTGATGAAGAATGGGCAGCTTCCATCACCTAATCTTTGAGAGAAGGCAAAGTGTAGAGCAAAGATACAGAAATCTGAATGGGGAGGAAGTTCCTAAATCCAAATTTAACCCCAGAATATACTCGTCAGGTTGGTAAGAAATCAGAAGTTAGCCTGCTCCATTCTCAAGGTTTGTGCCATCCCAGTACACTACTATTTACCACTCTTCAATTAGCTTTATCTGAGTGCCACAAATATTTGCATGGACGTGTGCGGTGTTCTGTGGTTAAAGAGATAAATATGGCATGGTCCCTGTTTCCAGTATTACTTTTAAATACATATAATTGGCTGGGCACAGTGGCTCATACCTGTAATACCAGCACTTTGGGAGGCTGAAGCAGGTGGATCACTTGAGGTCAGGAGTTTGAGACCAGCATGGACAACATGGTAAAACCCTGCCTCTACCAAAAATACAAAAATTAGCTGGGGGTGGTGGCGTGCGCCTGTAATCCCAGCTACCTGGGAGGCTGAGGCAGGAGAATTGCTTGAACCCGGGAAACAGAGGTTGCAGTGAGCCGATCGTGCCACTGCACTCCAGCCTGGGTGACAGAGCAAGACTTCATCTCTAAAGAAATAAATAAAAATTTGTGTATGTGTGGATAATTCATAAATTTACTGTTTTAAAAAACAAGAAAGACAAATAAATGATTTTTATATAAGGCAGAATCTGCCAGGGATTAGTGGGTGAAGAATGGGGTCCTCTGGGAGTTTGGAGGAGATAGTGATCACGATTTCATTCAGTGAGAGTTCTCATTAGTATTCTATCAAACTTATTTCTCTGATAAGGCTATTTATACTATTCTACCACTTATGGGTTTTTTTGTTCATTTCTCAGACCTCTTAAATATCTAAAATGCTTATAAATGTAATCCCTACCAAAAAAGTGTATTTTAAAAAAAAAAAAAGTTTGAAATGAAACTGATTGCCCTGTTAGAAACATTGGTTGTTCAGAAATCCTTCATAAATAAGTGAATATATGTACTCCTTATCCATCTAACTCCACATTTCCCAAATTCGTTTGCACACAGAACACTCTTTTCATGGCACAGTCATCAAAACCACAGGTTAGAAAACAATGTCAGAGTACCTAAACTTTGAAGAGAAAATGTAATTGTTTCTCAAAAACTTTTGAATCTTGGCAAACTATACACAAACACATACCTTTTGGTTTATTAAAACATAAGGTAGCCATCTAAAACCTGTAGCCTACACTCTTAAATGGACAGCCATTTTTACACAGCAATTTTGAATTATTTTCTTAACTCTATATTCAATTTACTTTTAAAATAACTAAAAAATGGTCTAAACTTGGTAATTACCACCTCATAGGTTGAAGTATATATATATAATATATATTTACAATTTTTTAGAGGGAGTCTTGCTCTGTTGCCCAGGCTGGAGTGCAGTGGCACAATCTCCACTCACTGCAACCTCCGCCTCCCAAGGTCAAGCAATTCTCCCGCCTCAGCCTCCCAAGTAGCTGGGATTACAGGCACACACCACCATGCCTGGCTAATTTTTGTATTTTAGTAGAGATGGGGCTTCACCGTGTTGGCCAGGCTGGTCTCGAACTCCTGACCTCAAGTGATCCGCCCACCTCGGCTTCCCAAAGTGCTGAATTGAAGTATATTTTAAGAAACTTAAATTATAATTTATTTGCCTTCATTTTATAAATCAAAGTTACCTGAGAATCAAAGTTAAAATATACATCTGAAGTACAAGGAATGGATAGGAAAAACTTTCACGGAGAGGTGGTGTCCACATCACACGGGTGGCCTGAAATCAACAAAATGCCCACTTTACATCATGTTTACTACAACAAACATATTTAAAAACCAGGGGTGAGTTTGTTTTAGTAATTTTAATACTAGGCTCACTATATCCCATTTCTGAGTGTCTGGCATAGCTTCTCAGTTTTTGAAGCTCTCTTAACGCATGAGGCCATTAAGTAGAGAGCAATTAACTACCATGTACAGAAACCAGCAACAGATACATCAGACCCAGCAAAAGGAAACCCAAGGGACAAATAAGATTGTACATATAAGAGTTGTGAGAATTCTGTGACTGACCAATTAGATCCACAGTCCAGCTCTGAAGGCATGATCCTGGCATATGATCCTGGCATCCCAGGCTTTGGGATATATGCATGCCAAGACAAATACCTGAACAAATGTCACCTAGATCATTCGCAAGCACCAAGAGAGTTTCTACATAACAAGTTTGAATGAATATAAATACACACTTCGAATAGCTAAGATTGCCTCAGAATTTGTAAAATGTACCTTAAAAAGGGTTAAGTATGTATTTTAAAAACAACTAGAAGTATTTGGGAACTACAAATGTGATGCATGTAATGAAAGTATTAAATTTTCATACAAACTTTAAAATTACTTCTAAGACATATGAGTCAGAGTATTAGAAAACATTTCCATCAAAAACTCTGAAATTCTAGAAAGAATGTGAACTCTTATTACTTTGCAAGAGTCTTAATTACTGCTCCTCTTCCAAGATATCAAAATTGTAAATGTTGAAAGAGGAATTATGATACATATAAGAAAGTCAACTTATACCAACAGTTGTCTGTCACACTCAAAGAAAAAGCTTTGTCTTTGTATCAGCACATTGCTGAATGACAATGCGTTTGCTTTAAAATAACATACATGACTTTTATGTATAATTTTTATGATTCCTTTATCTAACTGATTTTTAAAAATTAACCCAACAGCAATGGATACTTCTACCTGGCTGGGCGTGGTGGCTCACGCCTGTAATCCCCAATACTTTGGGAGGCCAAGGGGGGGTGGATCATGAGGTCAGGAGTTTGAGACCAGCCTGGCCAACATGGTGAAACCCCATCTCTAGTAAAAATACAAAAATTTAGCTGGGCGTGGTGGCACATGCCTGTAATCCCAGCTACTCAGGAGGCTAAGGCAAGAGAATTGCTTGAATCTGGGAGGCAGAGGTGGCAGTGAGCCAAGATCACACCACTGCACTCCAGCCTGGGTGACAGAGCAAGACTCCATCTTGGGAAAAAAAAAAAAGTACTTCTAGCCTATGTAACTTGTGTCATACCTATTAAATATTTTGCTACCAAGAGCTAGTAGTCAGAATCTCTCTCTTTTTCATTGTCATATCCTCAGCATCTAACAGACCATGGACATGGTATGTACTCAATATTTTGTTGAATGAATCCATCGCATTTGAAATAAGCTTCTATGAGCTCTTTTTTAGGTGGACTATGTTTCATTGGACTGAATTCGTTAAGTTAATGTCTATTTTGAATTCAGCATTTTGCATTACTGAACAGACAGGCATGACATAACAGAAAGAAGTGAGGGAGCAGGTGGCAGTGTCTTAACTGTGTCCCTGCTGTCAGGCCTGAGGCCTCTTTCATTGTCAAGGGAAGTGCAATGCATACAAAGTTTCAGTTAGGCAAGATGAGTAAGTTCTAGAGATCTGCTATACAACATTGTGTTAATACTGTATTGTACACTTAAAAATCTGTTAAGAGGGCAGATCTCATGTTACTTATTCTTACCACAATAAAAAAGTTGAATATATATGTTATATATAACACATAATATATGTTTTTATAAAATATAATTTTATAATTTATACAATATAAAATAATATATATATGTGAGATTTTAGAGGCAGACAGACATAGAATGGGAAATCCAGCTTCATCATGTAGTAAATATGGAATGTGGATAAGTAACTTAACTTTCTCTAAATTTAAATTTCGTAACTTGTATGGTGAGGCTGCCACCACCCACAAAAAAAGTTTAGTGGGAATACATCAGCTAATGTGCGTGACATGATTCAACGCAACAAGTATACTATTTCCTTTTCTCTACAGAATATATGTGCATGTATATATTTACTAAAAATAAGGCAAGAGATTTTATGTTTGAAATTCTAGCTATTTAAACATTTCAATCAACATGATTAAAATATCAACTTATAACACAAGGGTCTTTAAAATATTGTGAAATCATAAGTAGTATATACGATTATATATTGTTTTGATGAGTATATTTCCTTGTTCCTCTGTAGCCCCTTCTATTTCTTAAAAATTGCTTTCTAGAAAACAAACCTCTCCATGGTTGAAAAAGCAGCACAGTACTGTAATAAGACCTCCTAGTTGAGTCCCACTGTAAAAAAAAAAAAAAACAGTATACAATCAAATTAAAACCATAGTTTAAATCATATTTAAAACATAATAGTACAAAACCATACCCATGTGGTTGATGTTTAAATCCTGAATGTACAATTCTAAAAAGTGTACATATAAATTAATCTCAATTTTATAATTTATCATAGCTAGAATACTTTCTAAATAAAATACATAACGTGTGAACATAAAATGATTATTTTTTGAGATGGGGTCTTGCTCCACTGCCCAGGCTGGAGCACAATGGCAAAATCTCAGCTCACTGCAACCTCCGCCTCCAGGTTCCAACGATTCTCCTGCCTCAGATTCCCAGGTAGCTGGGATTTCAGGCGTGTGCCACCATGCCCGGCTAATTTTTTTACTTTTAGCAGAGATGGGATGTCACTACGTGGGCCAAGCTGGTCTCAAACTCCTGACCTCATGATCCACCCACCTCGGCCTCCGAAATTGCTGGGATTACAGGCATGAACCACTGCACCCAGCCACATAAAATATTTTTTAAGAAACAAGCTAGCACTTTAGAGTCTAGATCACATCCTTTGAATACTCTGAATAAAGGCAACTTTTTATCTTTTGAAATTGGATTTAAGGGATTGAGAGATGAAGACAAGAGTCTGACAGTTTCATGTAGCATTAACTTAGAACTGTCTAAACTACTGCAAATATTCTTTACTTGAGTGCCAGAGAAGCAATAATGCAGAATACAAAAATCAGATGAAAGATAAAAACCATTTCTTTTCTTGTTGTTGTTTTGGTTTTTTGCTTGTTTGTTTGTTTGAGAAGGAGTCTAGCTCTGTCACCTAGGCTAGAGCGCAGGGGTGCAATCTCAGCTCACTGCAACCTCTGCCTCTCCAGTTCAAGCCAATTCTTCTGCCTCAGCCTCCCGAGTAGCTGGGACTATAGGCACCCGCCACCACACCTGGCTAATTTTTTTGTATTTTTAGTAGAGACGGGGTTTCACCATGTTAGCCAGGATGGTCTCGATCTCCTGACCTCATGATCCGCCCGCCTCGGTCTCCCAAAGTGCTGGGATTACAGGCGTGAGCCACTGTGCCCAGCCCAAAAATAGAACTTTTTTAAAAAAATAGAACATTTTTAAACCTGCCCAAACAATCTCAAAGCAATCCTTTTCCCTCAAAATACTTTAATGAGTTTATATTTTTCTATATGGCATATAGAAAAGTGTGTAAAATTTCTAGCTTATAGAATTATTGTAAAGGGAACGTCCATGTAGTCAACATATAATTAACTGAAATAGAGAATATACTGAGTCTCCACTTGCCAGCCTCCAAGATAAGAATCAGCTACTGACCTGATTTTTGAGATTATCAACATAACTCTTTCTATATACATATCAAACTATGATTTACTTTAATCTGTTTTTAAACAACATACAAATGGAAGAATGCAGTATTTTTAAAAATTTTGTACCTGGATTCACTCATTCAAAATTATATCTGTAAGAATCAACCATGTTGTGTGTAGCCGTATAGTTCATTCATTCTCATTATTGTATACTGTTCCACCATATTAATAAACCAAAATGTATTCATTTCTCTGTTAATGGATATTTGGGTTGTTTCCAGTTTGAAACTTTTGCAAATGATGCTACTATATTATTGTATGTACTTCCTAGTCCACATGTGCAAGACTTTTTTGGGAATATATACTTTAAATTAGAATTGCTGAGTTACAAGGTATCTATATCTTCAACTTTACCAGATAATGTACACTGTTCACCAAAATAGTTGTAC